AGCTCTGCCGGCTCTGCCGGCTCGGGAACAGCCACCTCTTTGAGCCTCCGCTTGGCCGCCCGCTTGGCCTTGCGCTTCTCACGCTTCTTGCCGTCAGGCATTGACAAATAAGCTGTGGGCCGCTGTTTTCACGGTGCTCAGACTGCCCCCCGGTTAAGATCTCGTGCAAAACTCTTTTTCCCACCTTCAAGTACACCCCCAAGACTTCCCCAAACCGCCCAGGATGAGCTCCTGAGGTGCCAGTCCGCCCGAGATATGACCGGTTGAAGTTGGGGTTCCACGGTCAGGATGGTAGGGTGCCCACAGGACCCAAAAAAAGAAAGGAAAAAAGAAATGGGGCACTCCCGATCGCAGCACTTCATGTTGGATAGTCGAGATATTGAGAGTGTGACTAGGAGGGAGGGACGCTGGGGATTCTCAAAGGTATACCCTTGGAATGGCCGGATCCAGCCTTAAAAGTACGAGATCGCGCGCGCTTCGCGCACAGCACCGCCTGTTCTCCGCGGCTGAGTGACGACGCGTGCCGTGTGCCAGCAGAGTTGGGCGCGCGCGGCGCGACGGCGCCCGCGAGGGAAGCGCGGGTGCAGCGGCCGCCGGCGGCCGTACCGCTCGCCAGCCAGCGCAGCAGCGGCCAGCGCAGCGGCCGCCGGCGCAGCAGCCAGAGCAGCCGGTGCGCGCCTTGCGAGGCGAGTACTGCCGCCCGGCAGCCTTGAGGCGGCCGGGCGGCAGTACTCGTTCGAACTTTGCGAGCCGTGCGCGCGCCGAGGCGCCCGCGGCGCGCGCCCGCCCGGCTGCCAGTAGGAGGCGGCGCAATATGGCCATAGTACAGCCCTTGAGGAGGAGGAAGAGGCTGGCTGGCAGTGCTGTATGCCGCCGAGGGGCAGTTTTGGGGTGCTGACCCACGCCCAGGGGGCTGCAACGCGTCCGCAACCGGGACAACCCGCCCCCCAGCCGAGGCCGGTCGAAGCCCACTGGAGTGCAGCCATGAGGAGTCCTCTTGGTGCTCCTGGCGGCCCGGTGCCCCCCCCCTCCCCTTATTCCAGGTGTGCTGGGCTGCGCAGCCGCCGTCCCTGCCGCCGTCGCCGCCGCCGCCGCTGCTGCCGCCGTCCCTGCCGCCGTCGCCGTCCCTGCCGCCGCCCTCCCTGCCGGCATGCCCTCCCTGCCGCCGCCCCCCCTCCTAGAGCGCACCACCGGCCCGTGCTTGATCACCGACGGCGGCTCGTGCGCCACCTCGCCCGACTTCCCGAACGACTACCCGGTCGACGAGGGCTGCACCATCTACAGCCTGCCGCCGGTCGCGGGCTGGACGTGATCGCCTTTGACGTGGAGGGTGACGAGGCCCCCTCCTACGACTCCGACGGCGACGGCGACCCCACAAATGACTGCCCCTACGACCACCTCACCGTCAACGGCGTCAAGTACTGCGGCACCTCGGGCCCGGCCGGGGTCGTGCCTTCGGACGGGACCATGACGTGGGTCTCTGACGATGGAGTCACCGTGTCAGGCTGGAAGGCGTGCGCTCCTTTCTCTGCATCTGTGGCTCCCTGCACACTGCCCTCCTGAGCTCTCGCGCTCACCCAGCCCCGGTCCCCCCCCCCCCTCCCCTTATTCCAGGTGTGCTGGGCTGCGCAGCCGCCGTCCCTGCCGCCGTCGCCGCCGTCCCTGCCGCCGTCGCCGCCGCCCCTGCCGCCGTCGCCGCCGTCCCTGCCGTCGTCGCCGCCGTCCCTGCCGCCGTCGCCGTCGCCGCCGCTCGTTCCCGGCCCTGGCCCCGGCCCTGGCCCAAGCCCATCGCCCTCATCGTCGCCGTCGCCGTCTGCCAGCTCGATTGCGACGCACTATAACCCGTTCAACTCCTGAGCACTTCGGGTGCCCCCCCCCCCCACCTTAAGAGAGGACGATTGGACTATAGATCGCATGGGGCGATAAGTATCGCTGGAGGGAGCTGTGCAGCGCCACCGTATATAGCGGCCGGCTGGCTGGTGAGACCAATATGAACCACCCCATATTATCTGGTCGCGCTTTAATCGGT